AGAGCTCAGTCTTATTATCTTCATCTTAGAAAGCGTAAACTGAATCCCAAAGACATATAATAACTGGTTCATGCTGTCCAAGAAGTAGAGGATCAGAGCCTCAAATCTACATTGCTTAACTCCTTCCACCATCTTTGTCTACTACTGCCCAACTGTGCTGTTTTATAGCCAGCTATTTGGAGAAAGTTGATTGTTGACTACATTTCAGTTTTCAAACAGGTACTTAAAACTCTGTAAGCCACAGTCTTGACTATAATGAAAACTAAGAAAGAAAAAATAATTGTTATTCAGAGTTCACCTGGGTGTGGTGATACACTGAACTTGGTATAGTAATTTAAACAATAATTGAGTAGCAGCCAAATCAGAAAATACAGGTTCACGTTTAGGCTTCAAATAAATGTTACATCTCACACCCAACAGCAGTCAAAACACGAGGACTCCAAGGTGCCTGAAGTGAGCAGCCATTGTTTTTCATTTTTATCTCTTGTGCCCCCTTTTTGATTTGTATGTAATGAAACACTCTTTCATAAAAAAAAGAGTCCATTGTTGACCCAAGCCTTCTCACACAGCTGATCAAATTATTCCTTCTAGACACAATGACTGCTTCAGACATAAATTTTACTCAGTCAGAACCATCTCTGAAATTTCCTACGTGGACACACTTTACAGATAGTTAACCAAAAAGATACAAGCTCCAGACTTCCAGCAGACACATTTTCAGGGTACACGGAGTCCACCTAAGAATAAAACAGATTATTAGAGATAAGCAGAGCCAAACCATTTGGAGAAAAATAGTCTTGGTCATATTGTTTGCATCCTGAATCAAGTTATATCTGAATCAAGCTATATCTGAATCAAGCTATATCATGTGACACTGTTGCCATCTTTGGACTGCCCAGTCACAAAAGACACTATTATCCTCATCATGTTGAATTCCGGTTACAGAATAGTTCAGCTGCTGCCATAACAGCCCTGAACTATTTATGTACAAACTGTTCTTGAGAAAAGAGTACACCTATAATTTATTTATGTCACTATCATTGTGAGTTGCTATTAGAATAGCTGATCCTATATTAACCAAAGTATCCTACGAAGTACAACACCACATGCAGTATTTCCGTGGGAGCTGGTACGTGGTTGAAATGTTTCTGGCAAGAAAGAGAGTGACGATGGAAGTGTGAGTACTATAGATTTAAAGAGGGCAAAATCTGGAATAAATTCACCCTAATTGATATGAAGACATTTGGAGGATAGAGTGATCGAAACAATGATAATGGGTTATGAATAGAACTTAAGTATTTTAAATAAACATTTATTGGAGTTTTTTAGATGATGTTAAAACATTTATTGCAATAAATTTAGAAAACACAGAAAATATAAGAGAGAGAGTAAAATAACCCAAAATGAACATGATTAGTATTTTGGTATTCATTTGAATCAATAGGGCATAGTAGAGACTAGTAAACTTTTCTATAAAGGTCTAAACAGCAAACATCTTAGGCTTTGTGACCCGTGTAGTTTCTATTCTACCTGGGATTGTAGGGAGAATGCAGCTGCAGACAATGCATAAAATAAGTGTGTATAGTTGTGTACCAATAAAACTTTATTTACAAGAAATGGTAGTGGACTAGATTGGCCCAGTTTACTGATCATCAAGATATAAGATCTGGTGTTCTAACAGCAACTCAAAATGATAGGAACACAAACGAACTATAGGTGCGCTCTTGTCTCAGAAACAGTTTGTGGATAATAGTTCGGGATGCTATGGCAGCTGCAATGTGTCAGAGACCCAGATTCTTTCTGTCTTCTTACTCTGCCACCGCTAGTATGATGTTCTCATGCTCATGGTCTGAACTAACTTATTACCATATCTACAACCCAGCCAACAGGAAGGGAGAAAGAGGAAAGGGAAAAGGAAAGATACATTCCTTCCCTTTAAAGGTGCCAGTCAGGCTGGGTATAGTAGCACTCACCTATAATTCTGGCATAGGAAGGCTGAGCCAGGAGGATTGTTGTATGTTTGAGCCTAGCCTGGGCTACATAGTGAGTTCAAGTCCAGCCTGAATTACATAGAGAGACTCTGTCTCAAAAAACCAAAAATAAAGAGAGAGAGAAAGAGAGAGAGAGAGGGAGGGAGGGAGGGAGAGAGAAAGAGAGGGGAAGAAAGGAAGAAAAAAGAAAGAAACCAGTCAGGAATTGCACACACTCCCACTCACATCCTATTGACCAGAACTTAGTCACATGACTTCTTATAGCTGCATGGGATTCTGGGAAATATAGACTATATTTTGAGCAATGTGTGGTTGCAGAAGGTAATGAAAGCCCATGTGGGGGATCCTAAAGTCTAGGCAGTTAGGCTCACCCCCGTAAAACTTTTGTAGGAAGAAGATAGAGCCAGCTTGGAAGCACAGCGGTTGATTTTTCTCCATCTCTCACTTAGGAAAGTTCTTAGGTATTCCTATAACTGCTGAGTAAGAGGCACTCAAACTTCCTTTGGAGGACAGGTTTTATATATAATTGCTTTGGAGAGAGCAGCCAAAGTGAAACAGGATAAAAGAAAGCAGTTCCTCCTTCTTAGTTACCAGCAGGTACCCTCACGCTGGATTAAAGGAGGATGCAGCCCAGCCTGCTCTCTCCCAGTGCAGCGAAGTGCACAGCCTATACTTGGTGGTCTGTCTATCACACAAGGTATGTGTCTGCACAGGTAGACCCTACCCTGTGCACCCCAGTCCTGCTTCTAAACTTGAAAACCCTTAAGCAATGAATTTTTTAAAAATCTATTGTTGCATTCTTGAAGGATTAAGCATCAGAGTTTCTGGGTGTGCTTAATTCCTTCAGTGGAAGAGCATCTAACCCACGACTGCTTAAGAAATATCTGTTAAGCTTCTACATATTTAGTGCCAGGCAGTAGACATGTGGGATACAAAAACACAATTTCATAGTCCCTGCCTTGAAGGCTTTTCACCTAGGAGGGAGACACATATTGCAATGAACATCTGTTGTTTGGCTCCTGGCCTCCAAACCCAACCTCCTCCCGGAACATCACCCTCCTTTTTGAAGAATCCCCCACAGTGTGTATTTGGGATGGACAGTCTCTCACTCCAGAAGCCAAAGGAACCAGGCACTACTCTCCATTCCCTCTGTCAGTCCAGGCCAACCACGGGGTGAGCACATGACGAGCCTCAGCCAACCCAAGACTCTCCCAGGACATACACAGGGTTGTAAGAAGCTTGGGTATTGCTGTAGGTTACAGTCATTCTGATGGTGATGGCAGTTCAAAATAACTCCCAGCCCATTTTCCAACCCTGCTCTACAATCTTGCTTTGATGTGGGGCATTTTTCATGTCATGCCAAGAGGTTTATTTCCTTTAAGATAGCTAGAGTTGGGCCAGAGATCTGGCTCAGTGGTTACGCCACCTGCCTTGCAGGCACAAGGACCAGAGTTCGATCCCCAGTACCAAAAAAAGAAAAGAAAAAAAAAAGATAGCTAAAGTTTGTTTCTGTGGTCAACAACCAAATATTCTATGAAGGCAGAACTGCTGATCTATTTAGGTGCTTTGGAATACAAAGATTGAAAGACCCTACCCAACCCACCTCTATTAAAGAGAAAGTTTGTGGCAGGAACACAGAGAGCACCATGGGAAGTGGAGATGCCTAGAAATTCAAGGCCAGATGTCATTGTAAGGAATCTTCATGAACTGCATGGACTGAGCATAAAGTGTAGCTCTCTCCCTAAAGGTGAACTTATCCAAGGGAGAGAAGACATTGGTCCCCGCTAGTCTTGCTAAAGGCTTCAGCCAACCACACAGGTCACTCAGAAGCTGAGGCGACACTTCAGAATTTTCCAAAGGCTAGCTTCCTTCGATGGAGATAATCCCCAAAGAGCACCGACAGAGGGCTACCTCCCAGGTGTGAGGAGAATAAATCCATAGTTCCTGAAAGGGGGATTTGTTCAGCACAACAGCCACTACACCGGTCTTTCTGTATCCTGCGACCTTTCAGCTCAGAGCTGGAGTCTTTCCCGGTTCAAATCACTGATCTCATCATCACAGATCTCTAAGTGCCTGGAGATTGGTTTGCCTTGATCCACTCAGTGACAGTTGGGACACAGGATCACACAGTAGAAACACAACCTCTTTGACAGAGGCTGTAGGCAGAGGAGAAAGCAAGTCTTTTGGTACGAATGCTCAATGGCACGCCATACCCATTCCAGGACACAACTGTGATGTGCTATGTGGATGGAGGGCATAAGTATATGAATGAGGTGGAGTGTAAGTCCATAGTGGATGGAATATGTAGACCATTTTGTGTGCTACACAACACACCTAATCATTCCTAAATGAGATCTGAAGGGTTCCCTAACTTAGGACTGGAAGGATGAGCTAGGAGTAGGGTTTTACCCAGAAAGTAGATAAAGTAGAATATACAGAGGCACAAAAGAAGCCATGGTAATACTAAAGGGTGGCCTTCCAGCCACCCTGCGAACTCTGCCTCTTAGCCAGGTGCCTCGGAGGCATTTTCTGGCAGCTGCTCAGAGGCAAACGCACCACCCAGTTAATCATCTGGGCACTCCTTGTTCCCCCCTTTTATGAGCAGGGCCAGTGGGGCCTCTGGGCCAAGTCATGCCTGACCTGATCCTGTTTGACTTGTGTGCTCTGCCAGGATCTCTGCAAAGGCTGGCACCACTGGGGCCCCTGCTGCCTGTCAGACAGCAGCCAGTTCAGTGCCAAAACTGGCTCCTCTGCATCCTGGTGAGATACCTGCTGATGGCCACTGGACCTTGAAAGGGGAGGCAGGAGGGTTTAAGTAGTTGCCAGCTTGGCTCTGGAAGGCAGCTCTGCCATTCCTATCTCAGTAGACAGATTCCCAGGAGAGGTGTGGAATTTCCACTGCAGTTTCCAGGGGCGCTGACTGCCAGAGCTTCACATCAATGCCACAATGAATAAGACACAACAAGAAAAAGACATCGCCATCAGAGTAGCAAGGTAATAATAGCTGGTATTTATTGAGCACTGAAAATGTGCCAAGCAGTAGTTTATGGGAATTAAACCATGAAGTCATCACAATGACCCTGTAAGACAGACACTACTTGAAAGGTTAAGTAGCCAGGCCCCAAATCACACACTTGGTGAGGGGATCTGGGCGCAGGCAATCCCCTCCACTTCAACCTCAATTTTAGCCCATGTTGTGATGATTTATCTGTCTAAAAATGCTCTACAATACATAAGGTTCTTCTGTGGAAATTGTCCCAATTCACCCCTCTTCCCATGAGGAGTCAAGGCAAGTGTGGTCATTTTACAGTTGGGACAGGGAGACTCAGGGAAGATAAGGGAACAAACTGAGTGAGTGAGAGGTTTGTGACCTCCAGTAGATATTATTTCCCAGCACAGGAATTTTTCTATTCTACCTGATTGTGAACTATTTCAAAGGGGCCTGGGAATATGTGTATCCAAAGCTATGCATATATGTATCCTAAAGGCACTTCAAATGGACCACACTTGTGCTTCCAGTTCATAACGGGGATATTTTCTAAAGTACAAATGTAAAGTTAGGTGGGAGGAAAGCTGAGGTGAAAGAGAGCTCTGAACAGGAAGGAGGACTCCTGGGCTCTGCTCTGTTGAGCCTGCTGGGTGACTTTATCTAAGGAACTTACTTTGGGGGCCTTGTTTTACACATCTGAAAACCTGACAGGTTGGGTTTTTATGGCTTTGTTGTCCCTTCTGACTCAAACTGTAGATAAGATGAAGGTGTGGCAGGCCTGGTCTTCAAGGATACCCAAATCAGTGTATTCTAATCCCTGAGGGACCGGCACCTGTGTCATGGCATCAGGGCCCTGCACGCACCCGTTTGGCCTCAGGATGGGGGCCTCATGGTGTTTGTCTGGGACTTGAAAGTTTTTGGTTTTAACACTGGAGACAGAGGGATTATTTCTAAAGAATCAAAGCAAATCTACAATTTGCACAAACCCAAATATACACACCTATACCTTCTTGGACCAGTAAGCGAGGTCCCTACCCATCTCCCTCAGTGGAGATAACCCGAGGTTGGGAGTGGTTAGATCTTCTAACTGTGAGTAATCAGAAGTCAAACCCCCACCTTGGGCCATTAGTGTGTAGTTTTCCTACTTGGACTCTGTTGTAGTCAAGAGTTTGCAAGGGAATAGATTTAATATAGGACATATAATTTACAGGATATTTTATAATTTTCTCCCAAAAAGTCAAATGCAGAGGAATACAAGAGATCTGTCCACATACTAGAGACCTGAAGAATCCAGCCAAGGGCCTGGATCCCATGACAATATCCCACACAGTCCAGCTGGAGGCCTAGAGTCCAGCCAGAGGCCTAGAGCCCATGGCAACATCCCATGCAAGTCCATACCAAAGATCTGCACCCGGAAGGCCCAAAGACCAGTGGTGGAAGCTAGAAAGTCTGCACCTGCAGGGTGAAGTACCTGTGCCACCAGGCTGAGGGCTCTGCACTGGAGCCAGGAAGCAACGCTCAAGGCATAGACCAGAGCTCCCCTGAAGAGAACAGCAGCCATCCTCGGTGACAGGGAAGACCCGTGCTCCTCTGATGAGAACAGCTGAGTTCGCGCCAGGAAAACCAACCACAACAAGCTTCTCCAAGAAAATCAACAGCATACGATCTTCCCCTTTAGGTCTCCTTTTATGCCATTGGCAACAGTCCTCAGGTGGGTCTTCCATGCCCAGAACCATGCTGACTCAGTTCAGCTGGGTGCTCTAAGTCGAACATTAGTTAATCCACCACAGGCTCCAAATGCATTGCCCAGGTTTGTCACCTGCTGGCAGAAACAGCTCAGAAGCAGCCAGCTGAGCTCAGACCCCACCTGGGCCCAATCCTTACTTTCCAGCTTAAGGTGCTGTGTCAAGGCAGCAGCAACAGTGGTTCGGCCTCTGCTCCTAGGCTTTTCCCTCTCTGTATTTTCACATCAGGAATCCCACTGCACTCCTGGAAACAGACCAGTGTTGCTTAAACGTGAACCACGTGCTCCTCTTTTAATCAGAAGAAAAAATGTTTGTGGGTTCCCCATCACCACCATTCTGCTGGGGCTGATGTAAATGATGTTTCTTTTTATCTCATCACCAGAAAATGGGCAAATATAAAATCAGGTACTAAAAATCCTGAGGGTTATAGCTGTCCTGTGATTTATGAACCCAGAACAGTGTTACAAATGAAGTGCAAACAACACTACGAGATCCTCTTAGAACTAATTGAGTGAGGCAGGGGATGTAATTTTAAATTGCTAAAATTAAATTTCTGCATGGAATTTGACTGTAGTATGGGCCTATGGCACAGAATCCTTTGAGCTTGGCACATCACTGCCATCAAGTGCCACATGGGACTCAATCTCCTGTCCCTTCCTGCCATCCAAGCAGAGGCTGTCAGTCAGCATGTGTCCCACACACCAGCGGGCCTTTGGTTATCATAAACACGTCACTCACATACAAAGCTGCCCTCTGTCCTGTCCTCATTGGCCAGGAGTAATCTAGACCTAGTGCCATTGTGATAAAGACAGCACAGGCAGCACAGGTGTGTGGCGCTGCCAGGTCACCAGGTTATAAGGTGTGTCGGGGTTTGTCAAACTACGTCACAACCCGATATTGCATCAAGAGGTGAGTTTAGTGGGTTTTAACAAGCACTTGTTAAAAGATAGAGAGGAGTGAATGTCAAGTATTGTATGGTGTCAGAATATGTATTAGTAAAATTATTTCAAGCACACATGTGCACACGCACATACCCACACATGCCCGCATGATCAACCCAAAGAGATGTCCGCATTAGCTCAGTGCATGGTCCTGAAAGCCCATGCTAGGAGACTAATGGCTCCCCAAGACCCTAATCCCTGGACCCTGGCAATCTCTGGAAGCCACTTTATAAGGAGAAAGGGTCTTGGCTGACATGATTAAATTCAGGATCTTGCAATTACCTGGGATTATGCTTGGGAGCTATAAATTAAATGCAATCACAAGTGAGGGGTGTGTGTGTGTGTGTGTGTTTCCAGGTACTGGAAATTAAATGCTGAACTACATCCCTAACCCCTTTTCTTTCTTTCTTTTTTCTTTTTTTAATTCCACGACAGTCTTGTTAAATTGCCCAGGCTGGCACTGAACTTGCACACTTCCTGCCTCACCCAAGTAGCTGGTGTGTGCCACCACACCTGACATACAAATATTCTTATAAGAAAAGTAGAGGGAAACTTGTTCCAGACAGAAGCCTGACCTGCTGATACCTTGGTTTGGGTATAGCGAGACTGAATTCAGACCTGCGGCCTCCAGAACGGAGAGGACAAATTTCTGTGGTGTTAAATCACCCAGTTTGTGGTAACTTGTTACAGCTGCCACAGGAAACTAATACGGCCCCCTCCTCCCAGCCACTGATGATTGTGTTCTGGAGTGGTTGGGGCAACCCCAGAGGAGGTATGTTCAGGGATGAGTGAGGAGATGACGCTTAGAAGGTCCAGAATTATTTACCAGTTGGCCTGGCTTGGAGCATTTCAGGCTTTTCGCACCTGGTAGGGCTGCATGGTGCAGGCTGACCACCTTTCCGTTCTATTTGTGTGTGAGTATCAGTGTTTGCAAACTGGGTCACTGTGTAGGACGGATTCCTTCTGTGGGTGACTGCCAAAAAAAAGTTTAAAGATCACTAGTTCAGATAACCCAGAATGTGCTCAGACTAATTCTTTCCAGGTCACCATCAGCATGAAAACACAGAAGTGAAATCTTCTCTCAGAGACCCTGAGGACTCCCAAGAGCCGCCTATAGGCACACAAGGACTGCTGGACCCAGTTTGGGAACTGTCCTCTAGCATCGGGCATGCACAGTGTTCCCCCTTGTGCGCCTTAAGTCTTGCTGGTGTGGGTTCCTCCCGCCGTGGGCTGTACCCACCTGCCCTCTCAAGTTGTTCTTGGCACCCACTGCTCAACATGGTGCCACCTGCCCAAGAAGGTGGGTTCAAGGCTCCTGGAGTCCCCACCTTTGGCTGTGCAGGTGGGGAGCCACCATGACCATTTGTCCTCCCCCTGCCTTCCCCTCTCTCTGCCTCAGTGAGCCCCAAGATCTTTGCGGGGCCACAGTCCCTGAAGAATGACTTAGAGAGGGCTCCCTGGGCTTAGAAGCAAAGATTTTGAGCAAAATGCTGCTTTAAAACCAAACCAAACATCACTTCTCTGTCCAAGGCATAACAGACTTCTGGTCTTGGGGGATCCCTCAGAACCCATGAGTGATTGCTTCCAAGACCCCCCTGCAGATGGCAACTCTACAGCTCCTCCAGGCCCTTACAGAAAATGGCACAGTGTTTGCATAGAACCCATGCACAGCTCCCATAGACTGTCAGCTCTGGCTTACTTGTCATGTCTCATACAGCGCAAATGCTACGCAAATAGTTGTTATACTGTACCGTTTAGGGAATAGCAAGAAAAAAGTCTGTATAGGTTCAGGACAGACCCAGTTGGTTTTTTCTGAATATTCTCAATCTGCAGTGGGTCAAACCCATGAAAGCAGGAGCTGTGGATAAGATGGGGAACGAAGTGGGAGCCTGCGGGGAGAAGATTTGGCCCTCCAAGGCCAGTGCATCCAGAGAAAGCCCAGGGATCTTCTTTTGCACCCCGCCCCAGACTTACCTTCTGCAGCTTACAGCATTTGGGGACAATTTTGTGCCCTGACTTTTGGCCAGGTACCCTGACCCACACTCTCCATTCCAGACTCGCTGACCCCTCCCTCAGCCCTCTTGGTTCTGAACTGTAAGTCTGCAGACTTTGAACTTCTTTCTTTGCTCTAAGCAAATCCTCCTGGGAGCCCCCTGGGTGCTGCCAGCTGCTGAGGCCTTCCAGAGTACCATGGCTCCAAGGAGCCCTGCCGGGCATGGCTGGTGACTCCAAGCAAGCCACTCTACCTCTCCAAGCCTTCTTGCTTTATTTTTAAAACCGAAAGAGTAATGCATGGTCACAGTAGTTTGTGCCCAGGACTTCCTGTGAGTCTAAGAAAGGAAAAGAAAATGGTTTGGGAAAGCGTGTTCCATTCGTTGTCAGGCATGAGTATCATTTAGGTGCTGCCACCTGGGCTCTGGGCCATCCAGTAATGGCTGTCACCCTTCTCCTGCCTATGCCCCAATTCCACCCGGAAAGGTTTAGCCCTCTCCAGCCTCAGCTGTGTATATTGGGTCAAAGCCTCCTACGGACACAGTGACTGGTTTATGCAAGAGGATGTAACTCAGTCCAAAGCCGATTCCTCGAATATACATACGAGCTCCGAAGACACCTTCTGTCAGTCCCAGGGAGGTCTGGCACTGTCAAAGCCATGTGGCGGGCTGGGGATTTAGCTCAGTGGTTCCACCACGTGCCTCAAAAGTGGAAGGTCCTGAGTTCAATCCTGGGTACCAAAAAATAAAATAAATAAATAAATAAAAGCCATTTGGCAACATGAAGTGACAGCCAGCAACTGCCAGGGACTATCACGGGACATCTCAGGATGGAGCCCACATTGTGGGAGGCAGATGGAGAGAAATGGGGCCTTGGTGATCTCAGTTAGCTGCTGGAGCAATCCTTACCTGATACCATCCCAGCCACCAGACTTTGGGATCTAGGAACAAATAAATGATTTCCACTATTTGGATTTTCTTATTTACGACAGAGTATCCTGCTGCATCCATCCATCTTCTTGCTGCTTTTCCCTCTCCTTGTCTGTGCTGGGGCCTCTCTCGTACATGAAAAAGGGGCAGAAAAGGGAAGAGAAAGAAAATGAAAGCCAAGCTCAAATTAGCTTGGGGCTGGGGCCAGAGGCAAGCCAGAGCCAGTGGTGCAACCAGGCTCAGAAGCCACTTTACAGACACCAGGCAAGGAGCCCACATGAGACCCCTCATCCTCCCCTCCTCTGCCCCCTAGCCCTGCCCCGAGGGAGGAATTGGGACCGGGGAAAGAATGCAGGAGCCCAGCCTCTCCTGGCAGCTGGGTTCAAGGTCCCTGTAGTGCCCAGCAAGAAGCTGGAGAGAATTAGGACCACCTGAGATTGCTCAGAACCCAAAGGGAGGGCGGGAGGTGGGCCTGGGGGACAAGTGAGGGAGGCCAGGTCCTCAAGGGGCCCAATGGGTGCATGGAAACCCAGCACTACTGAACCCCAGTTTAGGAGCTGTGTGATCTTGCATGTGTCCTCCGACTGCCTGAGCCTCTGGTTCCCACCTGAAAGACGGTGCAAATAGCACCTCCAATGAGCTGATGTGGATTAAAGGCCTTGAAACAGCACTTGGCAAATGTCACACAGCACTGGCTGATACTGTTTCCATGGTCCTCACCCGGGGCCTCCTCCATTGCCCAGTGACAGTCCAGGCTGTGGTATGAACCACAAATTACTGAACTCTGAAGGTATCCATTTGGATTCCTTTGGTTCCAAGCAACAGTAAACCTGCCCCAGCTAACACTGGCTAAATGAGATTTTATGAGTGCACAGTACTGAAGAAGAGTACAGGGCTTGGTTGAAATGCTCAAAGGATGAGGTCATGTTCTGGGGTCCCTCTTTCCAGGCTTGGCCTTCTTTCATGTGTTAATTCCCTTCAGACTCAATCTCTATTCACAAAGTGGCTGCCAGTAGCCGCAGGAGCTACATCCTCCCAGAGTCGAATCAATGAGACAAGAGCAAGATTACTTTTCCAGAAGCTCAAATAATAGCTCCCAGTCCAATTCCACTGCCTCTGATTGGCCTGAGCTGGTGGTGTGATAGTCACTGGCATCTTGGTTGGCTAGGTCTGGGTCAAGTCCCACCCTTAGAGCCAGAAATACAGCACAGAGGGAAGTGATATCCAAACGGAAGTCAAGTTGTTAGTCCCAGTTCTCCATCAAAAAGTTTGCAATATTTGATGACGACAAGAGATTGTGATGTTCGAAAGACAAGCTCTGCTTTCCTTATTCTTAACCTCTCTAAATATCTCGCCTTCTCTCTCTGGTCCAAAAATGAAGGCTGCGGCAGGTTGTCAAGATGGCAAGGATTCCCAGCTCTAGGTCAGAGCCTAGCTTCATGTGACCCAGGGCAGTTGCTGATAGGCTGGGCCTCAGTCACCTGGTCTGTAGGACAAGGCCAAGCGTCCTCTCTCTTGGGGAGAGGAGAGAATGAATGGAAAAGGAAGGCCCGGGGCAGAGAGGCCCGCCCACAGTGGGCAGCAGTTTGCATTTGAACTTGCAGTTCAGGAGCGGAGGATCCTGCCCTAGCTCGGGTTTAAGAGGAGATGGCAGTGACTGCCAGGGACCGCGGGCAAAGTCTCCTGCCACAGGACCGGCCCATGCCAGGGGTGCCCTGGGGAGCCTCCCACTCCCAGCCGACAAGAAACCACCGCATGCCTCGGTGCCCGGAGCCCGGAGCCGGTCTAGGAAACTCAGCTCCTAGGAGAGTCGCCGTCAGAGGTGAACGCTGCTGCGCCAGGTTCCTGGCCCTCACTGAGTGGCTCCTCAGCTCTCAGAGCGGAAACTTGCCCCTTCGGGGTGCTTTCCCCCGCCCCGAGGGGAGCCCCGTTGCTACGGGCATCTGCTCTGTTTGCCTTGGGGCGGTACAGACGCGAGGAGTCGCCGAGTGGCACCTTCTGCTCTGCGCATCTGGCAGCCCCGGGCGGCTGAGGGCACAGCTGCGCGACCCGGGCCCCGGAGGGAGGGAACGGAAAGAGAAGCGCGCGGTGCGGCTCCACCCGCACTCAGGGCCCCGCCGGGTTGCGGGGCGCGGGGCGGCTCGCAAGCGTGTGCCCTGGGCGCGGAGGAGCCGCGGGCCGGGAGGGATCCGCCCTGCCAGGCACCTATGTCGCGTCCTCCCGGAGGACAGGACCGGCGCCTAGGGGCGCTCAGACATTACCCGAGCCACAGACTCCCGTGTCCGGAGGCCTCTCTGCCTTGGGGAGACACAGGACTGAGAAACGCTTGTCCACGTGATGTCTCCCTCAGATCTCGCAATCCCTTTCCAAATGGTAATTTGTATACGTGTGTGATCCTGTGATCCACAGTAATCACATTTGTTTTTGGGAAATCGGTGCATATATATATAGCACATTTTGATCATTTTCCATACCCTTTCCCACCTCTCCTCTCCCTCTTCCTTTCCTCTTCTTCCTCATGCCCAAGAAGTCTCTGTCTCTTACCATCTCTCCATTTTTACTATTATTTATTTATATTTTGGCTTTATCATATAAGAGAAACCATGCAATAATTAACACTATGAATCTGACTTATTTCAGTTAACATTATGTTTTTCTTTTGTTTCCTCCTCAGCCAGGAGGATGTTTCCCAAATGGGAAGAGGACCGAGAGATGCAGTGAAGGAGGAGGGTGTGCAAGAGAAGACCTAAAAAGAAGTAAGATGTGTTGTGCACATGTACCAACTCCCCACCATGAATGTAATCATGTACTGCAAACATGTACTAATAAAAAGTAAAATGAAAAAATTAACATTACGGCCTCAAGTTCCATCTATTTTCCTACAAATGACTCAAACTTGTCTTTCTTTATGGGTGAATAATACTTCATTGTGTAAATATACCACATTTTCTTTATCCATCTGTTATTAGGCAGCTAGGCTGTTTCCATAGCTCTGTAATTGGGAATTGTGCTGCTATAAACATGAGTACGCAAGTATCTCTTTTATATGATGTCTTTACCTCTTTTAGGAAAATACACAGGAGAGGTATAGCTGGGTCAAATGGAATTTCTAGTTTTGGTTTTTTGAGAAATCTCCATAGTTTTCCATGTGGTAGTACCAACAGCTATTCCCACCAACAACGGCAATTCTCACCAGCATTGTTGTTTGTGTTACTGAAGTAAGATGGAATCTCACTGTTGTTCTGATTTGCATTTTCTTAATGGCTAAAGATGTTGAACATTTTTTCATGTTCTTACGGTACTCATGTACTTATGGGCCATTTGTGCTTCTTCTTTTAAGAAGTGTCTATTCATTTTGTCTATTTTAAAATTTATTAGTACATGACTAAAATTTATTAGTACAGTGCATAACATTTCCATTCCTTGTGTGAAGTTGGAACATGTACACAACCCATCTTAATTCCTTTTGTCATCCCCTTACCCTTCCCTCCCTCCCCCTCCATTCATCTCTTGATCCCCTTTTTCCCTTTTTGGGGGGGATGGGGTTCATGTTTGCAGTACATAATGTTTACATTTGCTCATTTTTTTATTATGTCATTTGTTTCAGGGAATCTAATTTTTTGAGTTCTTTGTATATTTTAGATATGAGGCCTCTGTTCAAGGAATAGTTGATCCATTCTTTTTTCCACTCTGAAGGTTGTCTCTTCACTCTGTTGATCCTATCCTTTGCTGTGCAGAAGCTTTTTAATTTAATACAGTCTCATTTGTTATTCTTAGTGCTATTTCTTGGGCTATTGATGATCTGTTCAAGAAGTCCTTGTATCCCAAGTCTCATTCCAAAATAAACTTTGTGACACAGTTATGTCAGACATAAGTACAGGAAAGCGCAGATGAATGTTCATCCAAAGGCCATCGCGCCTATCACCGCCCTGTGCCTCGGGAGTTCACCATGACAACACCCTGGGTTAACTGGCCACCCTGCCACCAGATTGGACACCTCACCCACTTCCAGTGTGTTCTCCATGCTGTGGCCAATCTTGTTAACAGGTAAGTTATATCATGTCACTTCTGTGTTCAGGGCCCTTCAATGATTTCCCATCCCATACAGTGGAAAAGCCAAAATCCTTCTACTGAATGACCTGTGAGGACCGATGTGACCTGTAGTCAAGCCACCTTGTAAATTGTTCCCTTGGTCCCAGCTGAGCCACCGCAGCTAACATGAGCTTTTCTTTGCTGACCCTGTAGAATCATGATTGACTAAATAGTTCCAAGTGATTAAATTTAAGGTGTTTTGTTACACAGCAATAGATAACCATGACTATTTCACATTTTAAAAAATAACTGATTGCTAAAAATACTCAAATGACTCTACTGTAGAAAAGTATTTAATGAAAGGACAAACTTTTTGCCACACATTAAATTTCAAAAGATTATAGAACAGTATATAAAAAATGTAAAAACTAGTGTATAAAGTGTCTCTTGTGGTTTACATTTTTCATCAAATTACTTCATAAAAGTGTAAACAAGTTGCAAGATGTGATTTAAGATTTAAATAAAAATTTCAATGATTTCTTTGCACTAATTTCTTACCCAAGGGAAAAGAGCAAGAGAGAGAGGAAAGAAATTCTTCCAGTTGTTTCTATTCCACCCTACTTCTAAATCTCAGAAGAGGAGAGTCACAATTGAAAGGTGAAAAGAAACATTCATTCTCAGGCTGAGCCACTGCTATGGGCTGCATACAATTTAAATGTGACCCAAGGTTCATGTGTTAGAAGTTTTGTCTGCAGTTTAGCAGTGTAAGAAGTAGTGGGACTTTTAAGAAGTAGGGCACCAAGTAGGCATTGCCCTCAGAAGGGACTAATATTAAGGTAGTTCCAAGAGGACCCTGATTTAGTGCTCCAGAGAGTGGGTCATTAGAAGAGTGAGCCTGACCTGTGGTCCATCTCCAGCTTCCCTTTGTGATGGGATCCCTGTCTCCTACCCATGTGCCAGCCATAGTATCACCCACCATTAGGGCCTCACTGGAGGCCAAACTAATGGAGCCACCCAATCTTGGACTTTCAACCTCCAAAACTGTGAGCTAAATAAACCCCTCTTCTTTATAATGTAGACTAGGTATTTTGTTATAGTAACAACAAACAGACTAATACAGCTGCCAACAGCCCAGTTCCTGATGACTTGGGAAATATGGACCTGAAATTTTTAAAACATTTTGTTTTGCTGCTACTGCTGCTGTTCTTACCTCTGACCTAATCCCTAATAAGATTCAATTCCACTGTAGACCCTGGTGACCAATCTGGGGAAGCTTGATTAGGAAGCAGTTGAAATTGGTTCCAGTCTCCCTTCACTCCTGTGATTCCTCAATGCTTCTATTTTATTTTATTTTCATTTTTAAATTATTTTTTTCCAGTGCCAGGGATCAAACTCAGGACCTTGTGCTTTCGAGGCAGGTGCAGCACCACTGAGCTAAATCCCCGGCCCCTAACCCTTCTATTTTCTTGATCAAATGTATATCACCATTCCTTGCAAACAGAAGAGGTCCAAGTCAATATGATTACACTGAGTTTTCAGGCAACTAAAACATCAAATTCTTTTTTTTAACCAAGCCTCCTTGTTATGGTTTGAGTATGGTTTCGGTCTGTCCCCTAAGGCTCCTTGTGTTGAAATTTAACCTGTTATTCCATATTAAGAAAGTAGAAACTTAATTAGACTATGGTGTTTACAGATAGGATCTTTGAATTGGATAAGTTCCCTGGGGGCTGGGAGTCCTCATGATTGAATTCTATATAAGCAGCAGATGAAAGACCAGAAGACAGACAGACAGACAGGCAGGCAGACAGACAGACTCGCATGCATGTGCATGCACACACATACACACACACCCCCTGTCTCTTGCCCCAGGATGCTCCGTGCCTCCTCAGGACTCTGCTAGGAATAAAGCCATCATCACATGCAGCCCCTTGACCTTGTACCTGCAGAACTGTGGGCCAAGATAACCCTCCCTTCGTCAACACTCATCCAGTCGGTGATGTTCTGAGCAACAGAAAATGGACTCCTACGTCCCGTCCCCCCCTTCCCTTACTCTAGCTTCTTTCCCTTTGAGACGCCATGCAGTACTTCACATTTTTCCGAGTTTCATTTCATCTTCCTGGTTCCACAGTGCTTCCCAGCCTGTCCAGACCCATAGAACCTGAGTCGGACCACCTGTCCTGAGCACTGCTCCTCCCAGCCTTGGGTCTGCTGGAAAGTTTGCACCTGTAACTTGAGTTCATTGAGAAAAATACTGAACTTTTAAACCCGGTTGGAGTTTTTTGCGAAATTTCATAGTTGTTTGATGTTTAAGAACCCTACAACCACCACCAGATTAAGACAGGGTTGGAAAAACAGGTAGGAGCAATTGGTGCAGATGGTGGGTGACTGAGATTAAGTGTCCAGAACCCCACCCAAAGTCAACACGAAACTCCCCTGAGAATCTCCTCCTTTCAGTTATTGTTCCACAAATGCACTAACCCTTCCTGAGGTCCAATGCAAATATGCATTCTCTGTTTATTGTTCTAACATGTCAGGGTCAATATGAGCTCTTTAGAGATAGGAAGGATTTTTTCATCATTTGATTAAACAGTTCAGTACCGGGGCCACCTAAAATGCTGGATGGTGAGAGGTGGCAGGAGCCAGAGTAACACAGAGAGAGTTTTTATTAAAAATGCCTTCAATGGGGGCTAGGGATTTAGCTCAGTGGTGCCACCACCTGCCTACCAAGCGCAAGGTCCTGAGTTTGAGCCCCAGTACCAAAAGAAAAAAAAAAAAAAATTGCTCTTAACCATACATACAGGCAATAAATCAGTGGAGAAGAAAAGGAGTACTCGATAAATGATGCTGGGACATTTGTTAGACATTTTAAGGGGAAATGCTCCATTTGGGTGCTAAATTCATACCATCAATGAAAAAAGATTCCAGAAAGATTAAAGAGACAAGTGATACAAAACCAAATCATAAAATATACATAGATCAATGGAACAGAATTGAGCATCCAGAAATAAATCCTCATATTTATTCTTATATTTATAGTCAATTGACATTCTTGTATTTATGGTCAATTGAAAGTTGCTCACACAATTCAATGGGGAAAGGACAAGCATTTAGCAAATATTGCTGCAGTACCAGAATATCCAGATGCAAAAAGAGGATCTTAGGTCCTTACCTCACACCATCTACACAATTTAATTCCAATTAGGTCACAGACTTCAGTGTAAGAATTGTAAACAGTAAACACGAAGAAGGCAACAACATAAGAGACAATTTTCATGTCCTTGGATTAGGCAAAGATTCCAAAGTTTCAGCACCACAACTATGATCCAGACAAGGACACACTGATCCTTTGGACCTCCTTCCTCAAACTTAGAAATCCTATCTGTGCTTCACAACACACCGTTATGAAAATGGAAAGATGAGCAACAGTAGCAAATATATACAAACACAGTTTATCCTCTCAGTTTTATCTTCTTCATGAGGTACAGGCAGGGAGCACACAATAAACAAATTAATACATGAGAAGACTATAAATAGTGATTAGTACTCTGCAGACCAAACTTCTTTCATGTTAGATTGCAGTCAGGAAAACGTTCTCTATAGAGGTGTCATCTAAATTGAGCAAGCTGAGCTTGAAGTGACAAACAAAAGGTCTGTCTCATAAAGATACAAAGGGAGCACCTTCCAGGAAGAAGCAAAAGTACAAAGGCCCTGAGGT